CTGCCAGATGTAGAACAATTATGATATTGCGAAAATTGATTCACCAATTAGTTTTCTGTTTACCAATCAATACTTAGAAGTTGTAGCGCAATCTTATATTTTTCTGTTCACCAATCAATACTTATATCAAAGAGAAGGAAGGGAAAGTAAAAGAAAAGCAAGAAATCACAATTTATTCCATTTTCTCTCATTTCATATTTGCTCTTCAGTCAGGCAGTATGGGTTTCATCTTATATATGTTAGCACAGAATTGTCGTTTATAGTTTTGTGTATCTGTTACCTTATTTTCTTGGTTGAAGCTTGATTAACGTATGGCCTAAGGCTATGATTCCAGTTTTTTATTAAGTGTCCTCCATTTTCGCTGCTCGTAGATACATCTAGAACTCATGGATTTCTTGCCACTTCGGATGACTTTTTTAATGTATTCGTAACTTGCCATTTACTGTCTGACACTCATACTAGTTACAATTGATTATTTTGGATTTTTCACATTTGTGTTTTAAAAACCAGGCATCTTTTATTCCTCTACAGGTGCTTAACTGATGAGACAGCGGTCCTACTGCTTTACTCGTTGTTGCAAGGAAATTCTTCCTTTTTGGAGTATGTCTTGGTGCGGACTGATATGGATACTTTGGTATGTGACAGCAACCTTGAATTTCTCTAATGAAAGAAAATGGAATGAATTTATTATTATTTATGGGAGAAAATGTAATCACCTTCTTTGAGATATCTTTAAATGACATACACACCCTTTTTAATTTTTAAACAAACACTTGCCACCCTTGTTTTTTCATAGAAGTAGCACTCATTTTCCCGTAGGTCAGTTAAATGACACGCACACCCTTTATTTTTACAAGATAGAAAGGAGGTCAGTGTAATTGAGGGGAGTTTTTTATCTTTTACATAAAAGTAGGAGTATTTATCGTTGGGTATATATTTGAGAAGGCGAGTGCAATTTCCCTTAATTTATATATTTAAAAAGCAAAATAAGAATTTTTAGATCAAGTACAATAAGACTTGTTACTTTGCAAAACAGGTATTCACTTTATTATCATGTGATGTGATATATGTAACCACTTGCTTTAAGTCATTGTAAATCATATGGGTCCGACTGATAACATCTAGAATGGCTAAAGATTGAGTCTTACTCCAATTCTTGTTTATGACATTAACAGTTAATGCCGATTCTGGAAGCTCTATACAATGCTCCAACAAGGACAGCTAATCAAATATACATGCTGCTGATTGTATGTCTTATACTTAGTCAAGACTCTTCTTTCAATGCAAGCATTCATAAGTTGGTAAGAGTTGTATTTCTCCATTAGAATATTCCTAGAACCGCAACAATTTTGTTAAATGTTAATTTGGTTTATAAATGAACAGATATTGACGGGTGTTCCGTGGTACAAAGAACGTCTCCTCCATCAGACCTCTCTTGGTTCTCTTATGGTCATAATTCTTATCAGAACTGTACAGTATAATATGTCTAAACTACGGGTATGGTTCTTAAGCTTAGTTAGATTGTTAATTTATTCTCTTGTAAGTTGTATCTAATTTATAAAACTCCCTTTTCTACTTGGTGATTATTCAATTAAGATGTTACATATATATTGAATCCAAAACCTAATACTGTACACTGGCCAATTAATATGGTTACTACTAAGGTGTGACACTGTTATCAGTATCTATTGGTGGATATATAAACCTGTTGATGCTGTTCACTGCTATGTTTCTCTTTTATGGCAATTAATTTTCCCTGTTCTAGTTCACTAGATGATATTTAATCCAAAAATGACGTATATTGAATTTTCTTCTGATGCAAAATTGCACCTGGCATGGCTTACTGTTATAACCTCGGTTTGCCTTGAAATTCTATGAAGGCATTTAGACTTGTTCTATGTACTAAAAGCTGTGAGTGATTATTACATATATCATATGCCAATAGATACATGTAGAATTGGCATATTTCAATCTTAAAAATGTTTCTGATCCATGTTTACACAGTAGTTTATGTGGATTGAACTATTGCACTGCTCTTATTATACCTTCCATTAAAAAAAGCTGCTCTTATTATATATAGATTTTTTCTTCTGACAATTGGTTATTATGCAATAAAATAATGATAGGATGTATATCTCCACACAACATGTCTGGCAACTTTGGCTAACATGGCACCTCATATCCATCGTTTGAGTGCATATGCATCTCAAAGACTAGTTAGCCTTTTTGATATGCTTTCACGCAAGTATGTTTCCCTTTCTTTACCTTCATAATGTACCATTTCCATTTAAAATGTATACCTTTAAGAGCTGATTGTGATCTCTGGTATAAAAATTTGACAATATCCTTTCTTCTCATTAGGTATAACAAATTAGCTGATCGCAGAGATAATAAGCTTCATATTGCAAAAAGCAACTCAATTGAAGGAAACAGCTTTGTAGAAGATGTGGTATATATAAAAATATATATTGTCTTAGTGCTTTTGTGGCTCTTATTGATTACAACCGTTAGACCACTCTTTTTTTTCCTCTAAATTATTATGCATTTGTTTAATGCAGTCAACTGAATTGCAAATTTATACTGACTTCTTGAGGCTTGTACTAGAAATAATAAATGCAATCCTGACTTATGCACTGCCTCGGAACCCAGAGGTTTGATTTGATTTTCTATTTGATTAATTGAAGATTTATCACATCTATTTTAATCTAGTTCAAAATAATCCTAATTTACATTGCTGTATTGCTTTATTCGACTGGAGCAGGTAGTGTATGCAGTAATGCACAGACAGGAAGTCTTTCAGCCATACAAGAGTCACCCACGCTTCCACGAACTGCTTGAAAACATTTACACCGTATGTTTTATGTATTATATTTTTGTGAGTTATAAGATGCTTACCCTTTGAGACCTTGCAAATTCTAAAGGAGTGTGTTTTGTGCTGGTTTTACATCAATTTGTTGTCATTGAAAAATGTATCTATTGAATATTTGCAGGTATTAGATTTTTTCAATACTCGTATGGATGCTCAAAGAGTGGACGGTGACTGGTCAGTCAATGAAGTGCTCCAAGTGATAATCGTCAATTGTCGTTCTTGGAGGGGTGATGGGATGAAGGTAAGATAAGAAAATAATTGTGATTTGTGGTTTGTTTTCTGTTGGGAATATATGATTAAGAATTTAAGAGGATTAAATGTCCCGTTTTTATGACGCTGTGTTTATTTTTTTGGCAGATGTTTACTCAACTGCGCTTCATGTATGAACAAGAGAGCCATCCAGAGGAGTTTTTTATCCCATATGTCTGGCAGCTTGTACTATCCCATTGGTATGGTTCTTTATTCTTGACGACGCCTCTTAACAGTTTCAAATTTTGTGGCCTTATTTCATTTCATTCTGCCTGTAAACTCCGTATGTTTGCTCATTAAGTACTGAGGCTTGAGATACACTAGGTCTAGGGCAATTAATTCTGCTATCTTTATTTAAACTTTTGTGAATGCTATTCCTCCAATGTCTTTCTTTCCTTTCAATTTTTTTCATTCTGTACATGTCACTAATTCAAAAATTGTGCCCTCTCCAGTGGATTTACATTCAACACAGAAGCCATAAATTTGTTTTCAGTTGATCTACACTCAGACGTACGTATCTGACTCTCTCCTTTTCTGTTTGAGTATGTTATGTAAATGCAAGCGATGCAACTTCTTATCAAGTTGTATAACTGCACTTTCTTTTTTTATTTCTTTGGTGATAACATTTCTATATTTTATTATATTAATTTTTATTATGATAGATAAACATAACAGACACATTTATCATCTAAGGAACAAAATCAAACCCCACAATTATACAATATGATCTCAATTTTGTATGCTGATTTCTTCACATTGTTTCGGTCATTGACTTTTTATGAATGAATTGCAGAAACTTGAAAATGGGGTGGTGGAAAGCACACTCCTGAATGGTGATTTTGACAAGCCTGAGTATCAGCTTGATCCGTAGATGCTTGTATTATTAATACAAACATGGCTGCCAAATATAATAGCTATTTGTACATATAAAGTAGCTGATAACACTTCTGAAATTTTTAAAAAAATAGATGCTTTGATGTGTATCGTTCGGTCATTCTTTCTGTTCATATAATATGTGAGTGTAGAGGTTCATTCCTTTAGATGAAAATGAGATATCCATGTATTGAATAAGCGTTTAGTGTTCATGCTAATACCAATTGCACGGGTTTTGTAGATCAAAGAGTTCCACGCTCTCTATTACGTGTCTACATTTGTGTCAGCATTTTTGTTAAATTTATTCGACAATTTATATCCAATTATATAATGTATATATTGATATATCTAAGTTACATGTTTATCATTATTCATCAATTTGTTAAGTGTTAGACAAGAGAAAGCGATAAGTAAATATTGTTTCAGTTGTAGAGTGTCTTTACTTATACTATTGAAAAGTCGAAATTGATTTTGATAGGTTTAAATGTAATTGAATAAAATGAATTTTGTCTTTAAAATTGATTTTCATTTTAATCTAGAAATTGGAGTGTTTGATTGTAAAATCAATTTTTTCATTTAAATCAATTTATCAGCTAATATTTAGATAAATGTATTGAATTATTTATCACTTTATCTAATTTTTCTTGCAGATAAAATTAAAACTTAATTCTAATCACCATGTTTTAATATGAACGTAGTTTTTTTCATTTTACAATAGAAGCTTTCTTTTAATATATTAGGCTTTCTTTAAGGTACTAATTTCAATTCAATTTCTTTATGACCGTTATGATTTTGGCAGATTATGCACGTTCCCTTTGATTTTTATATGGCTATATTCCCCAAGCAAATGTACTTCAATTTAAATTGGACGATTAAGAGCTTTAAAAGGCTACACGTCATATCAAGAAAATAGCTTATGATTAATGTTAATATTCTTTATGACATTACATAAGTATGTCTAACCACATGCTGGGACCTAAAAAGCTATAACATGTGCTGTGGAAATCTATTACACAAGGGATGTACCCTTAACAAATTCTGTGAATGCCAAAGCAACTAAACCCAACATAGCAATTCTTCCATTCCAAAGCTCAGCATCTGAGGACATAACACCTTTAGATTTGGACTCAACACTAACACCTTGGAAAAATGGAATCAATGAAGCAAGTGATAACAAGACACTTGTCCCCAAGAACCATGGAACTCCACCGCCGGACAATTGTTCAAACAAACCCTGCCCTTTTGCTATCTCCACCCCCATTGCTGCTACAAAACCAATCATAGCCAACCTTCCGTTGATTCTTTCAGGAGCTGGCCCACTAAATGCCATCAAATCCGAAAACTTTGTGCTCATCTGCCATTCCAATATCATTATTATTATTTATTAATAGAGTCTGATTAACTAAGTCAAAATTAATGGTTTATATAACTAATCAAATACTATAAAAGACAAAGTAGTAATTAAGTGTTACTATGGTCACCTTTGGTGGACGAGTATAGGCTGGTTGTGGAGTTGGGGTTGGTGTTGGTGGTGCAATTGGAGTAATTGGGTCTACAGGAACCTTTGGTTGCTCTTTCTGTTCTCCGTGAACAATGTAATAAATAATTAGCAACAGACCTTTCTTAAATCATAAACACATTTCATATATGCATAAGCAAATAGTATATATATATATATATATATATATATATATATATATATATATATATATATATATATATATATATATATATATATATAACCTTAAAATATGTTTGATAAGATCATAATTACCTCAGCCATAGAACGAACTTTGAGGCTAACATTCCTTCTGAGGCTTGGAACATTGTAGGCAGAAGGGATGTTGGTAAAGTGGTTAACCCTAGATCTAGTAGAAAAGTTAGTCGCAGAGCTTGACATGATAGATTGAGAAGATGAAAAAGCCATTGATAATACAAAACTCAAGAAGCAATGAGATAGACTAAGGATATGAAGAGCTTTGGAAAATCCACTAGTTGAACTCTTAAACCCTTAGATTGTTAAGTTGGTGAGATAGGCATTGAAGAAGGTTGTTTATATAGAATAGAATGGGAAGCATATTGTGGTGGATATTTTAGGTCCACGTAGTGTGTAAAAAGATCCTAAAAGGCAATCATTCACGTGGCTTCATTTGTCCACACATGGTAAAAGCAACAGATGTGGCTCTAGTTACAACCACACGCAGAATTTTGAGGTTGTCTGGGGCTGTAAACTTGGTAGTTGGTACATTCAGAACCTCAGTTGTTGCTTTTACTGTTTTATTATTATTAGTATTACTTTGATTTAGAGAACGTTTGTTTCATATATTTTATTTTTATATGAATAACCTTTAGATTATTCTTAAGAGAATTTAAAAAAAAAAATCATAAACCATGTTTTTAAAAGTATTCATGTTAAAAATAATTCATGTCAAATAGTTTTTCTTATATATGATTGAAAAAATATAAAAATCATAAATTAATTAAATAATAATTTATTTTCAACAAAATATTTTTTTTAATAAAACATTTTTTGAACTAAATTTACATACAAACATCATTAAAAAATGAAAAATTATTTTTAAAAATCTAAAACAAAAAAGTGCATAGTCTAGAATATTTGTTGTTCTATATCTCCGTATAGTGATAGACCAACTATTCATAGTATCAATTATGAAAAAAAATACAAAAATTAAAAGTTTTAATTAAGGAATATTACATAAAAAGACAATTTCATTTAAACCATTATGTATTCAGTTTTTTTTTTTTAAAAGTTTTTAGCGATTATTATTATTATTTTTTTACTTTATCAGACAATTAGGCACCGATATCACATTTGTTTAAGAAAATAATAAAATGTTTTAAATACATTAATTACATGCAACCAAACCACGTTTAAATACATTTTATTTTTAGAAGAAAAATCTATTTTAGACCCTGGTAAAAATTATAAATCTCAAATTAATAAAAAAAAAGATTTTTAATCTTTTACAAAATATAACTAGATTATATTAATTTTTATATTAATATTTTTTAAATTAATTTTCTTTCTATTTTTAAATTGTAACTGTTTGAATTTTATTTTTAATTTTTAATTTTTGATTTTTAATTATTAAATTGTTTTTTAAACAATTTCATTTTTAAATAATTCATATTTAAAAATAAATAAAAAATTAAAATTGGTTCTTAGATCATTTAGATTTTATTTTTTATTTTTTAAATATTAAATTGATTTTTAAATAATTTTATCTCTAAACAATTCAGATTTAAAAATATAAAAAGAAAAAAACAAAATTGATTTAAAAATAAATTGAACCCAAGATCATTAAGCCTTTATCACTAAACTGATATTCATTAATAATAGACAGTTATCATGATTTGCAGTAATATTAAATTCAAGACTTTTTAACTTTTCTTTTTATCTACAAAAATAAATAATAAGTTTATACACGAAGATTTGTCACGTTTAACAAGTAATTTGTCATTTTAAAAATAAAAACATAGTTAGTTTTAATAAAATTGTTTAAATTTAAAATAAATGGACCAAAACTATTTAAATTTAAAATAAGGGGATCAAAATTGTAATTGAGTCTATCTGAATTATTAAGTTAATTATTCATCAATAAAAAATTTAAGTGAAATTTTTTCTGTATAACTTTAACATCATATTTGAAAAAAGTTTCTGACCATTCTAACTTATATTCATTTGACATTCATAATAGTTTCAGAAAAATAAAAATAACATTGCTAACATTCATAACCGAGAAAAATTCACTAACGCGGGTTAATCAAATTCATCCAACTCCCGCTTAGAATACTTTTCATACTTACAGTAAAGTGACTACCATTTAATTTGAAGGAATTTGAGTTTGGGACCCATGGGTATAAATTTTATATATTTTTTAAAATTTAAAATTGTTTAATAATACTATAAATCATAAAAATTAATTGTCACCAATGTATATTGGCTTAGTGGTAAAGATGTATAAAGTGGTTTAAAGGTCTTGAGTTTGATTCCTTCTAGGAACCAATTTTGTCTTTTTTTGATATTTTAAATCTAAATTGTTTATAAATAAATTGAAATTACAAATAACATTAATTTAGTATTTAATAATAAAAAATAAAAGCCAACTTGGTGAAATGGTTCGGTTAATTATAGTTTGAGACAAGTAATTAGTTACATTGGTGTAACCGGCTACCAACCCGATGTAATCGGTTACAAGCACTTGAGTTAGACTTTTTTACTCAACACACTATCTTAATTCATGTGCTCTAAGTCTTTCATATCCATATGCTTCTTCAATCTCTTGAACACTTTAATTGATACTCCTTTGATCAGCAAATCGGCCACTTGATCTTCACTTCTACAATACCCCAACCTCAATCTTCCTTCACTAACAAGCTCTCTCAAGTTGTAAAATCTCGTCTCAAGATGCTTGCTTATCCTATGTGCAATGAGATTCTTAACAAGATTTATAGCGAACATGTTGTCAACTATAAGCATTACAATATCACCTTTTTTGTTGCCCATCTCCTTAATAAGATTCTTCAACCATACGACTTAGCACACACACATAACAAATGTGCAATATACTCAGTCTCACAAGAAGAGAGTGTCACTTTCAGTTACTTCTTCGAACACCATGAGATTAATGTTTTTCCAAACATAAAGATGTATCCAGTTATTGATTTTCTATCATCTTTATCTTCCTGCACCAGTTAGAATCGATATATCCGAATAAACTGCACATTCTGCCCATTTCCACTGCGGGAAATAGAATTCCTCAGCCAATAGAATCTTTGACGTATCTTAGGATCCTCTTGACTGCTGCCAAGTGAGACACCTCTGGTCTCCCCATGAATCTGCTTACAATTCTGACACTTAATGCCAAATTTGATCTCGTATTACACAAATACTGTCATGATCCAATCAACCTCTGATACTAAATTTGAATTAACATCATGCTCGTGCTCATCCTTTAACAGTTGCGACCTTGGTTCAGTAGGAGTAATGACAATATTACATTGTTCCATTTCAAATTTCTTCAAAATTTCCAGCACATACCTTCTTTAGTGCACGAGCGGTCCTTTCTTGGACTTGTAAAACTCAATGCCAAGGAAATATATCATGAGGCCTAGGTCAGTCATCTCAAATTCCTTCATAAGCTCGACCTTGAACTTAGAAATACAATCTTCATCGCTGCTCGTAATCAATAAATTGTCAACATAGAGACAAAGAATTACCAACCATTCATTTGCACCCTTCTTCAGATACAGACCATGTTTGAATACACATTTGTTAAAGCCTATCCCTTTTAAGAAACCATTTATCCTTTTTCTCCAAGTTCTTGGAGCTTGTTTCAATTTGTACAATGCCTTTTTCAATCTATAAAGCTGTGATTCTTGGTTTTTCACAATGAAACTAGGGGGATGCTCAGAATATACCTCCTTTTCCAACAATCTGTTAAAAAATGCAGATTTGAAATTCATCTGATAAATGGATCAGTTATTGTTGTTTGCAATCCCAACAACTAATGAGATGATCTCAATCCTTGTTACTAGTATGAATACATCCTTAAAGTCTATTCACTATGTCACACCCTAATTTCGCCCTAATTTTTCATCTAATATTTTAATTGCATTTGCATCAATTCAACTATTTAGTCCATAGCCTTGAGTTATTTGTCCGTATGCATCGTCTGATGGTTTTTTTGTTGACCATTTTCTTTATTTCGTTAGCAAATTTGTTCCGAAAATTTCCATTGTATTTAGTGATCATATTTTCTTACATCTACAATTAAATCAATATTTAATTAATAATTAAATTTAGTGTAAATTTGTTTTTGATTGGTTTGGCATTTTCATTTTTATTTATCATATTTGTATTCACACTTTCATTTATATGGTTAATTAATGATCTTTTAAGTTACTAAATGATTAATTAAATAATAAAATAGGATTTTAATTAATTCTCATTTATTTGTTTTTAGTAGTAATAGCACATTAGTTTGTTTTCTTTTTTAAATAATAATTAGGAATAGAGCAAAACGAAGGATATAAAGAAGTTTTGTTTATTATTATACATATTACACCAAAATAGAATTTTTATGTTTTTTTTTATAGTTACTGTAGTAATAAAAAACAAAACAAAATAGTTATAGTAGTAAAATTTGAATTTCACAAGAGACAAATTTTCAATTTTGTGTTTTGTCACGATTTTCTTCCAACCTTGATTCAGGTTCCACTGTCAATCTTCACACATCATTTACCTGCAAATACACTAGAAATACATACCAGTACATGTTTCACCTTTCTAGAAAGTCAGAATAAAACAAAAATATAACAAACTTCACGACTAAGAAAATGATTTCATCAAAATCCTTTCTCATCCTTCAATCCAACTCACAACAAATTTCATCCTTATCCATTTGTTCTCTAAAATTTCTATTCTACCCTCACTCAATCTCTCATATAAAACATGCCTCAATTCCTCTAATTTACACACACAAAAATAGCAGAGAAATTCACTCAAAAAACACCTTCAAAATACTACCCATAAAACACCGCTCACACACCAACGATCTTGCTCATAACCTCTGCCAAACTCTTAACTCAATCCGCAACATCCATCCCCCTAAACCTAAAAAATCAGCAAGTCACTCAGCTCACTGAATCTAACCTCACAATGTAACACCCTAATTCTATCCGATAATATATATAAATCAAAGTTATAAAAATTCCGACAATCAAATCAGGATGCTACAATTACAACTTAAAACAATGACATTCATTACAGATACATAACACATTAAACTTGGATGAACCAACAACAACATAAGTTAATCTTTCATAACCATGCAGCAGAATCAAATATTCAACTTAAAGAATATAACATCTTTATCCGACGGAAAAAAACTTCAAATAACAAGT